GCAGCAGCAGCAGCAGCAGCAGCAGCAGCGACTCTGCACCTGACTGCTGGGAGCAGGTGGACATGGAAGTCCCTAGTTCATGCCCTAACGGGGACAGATTCTCATCGGTGGCAGCTGAAACCCCGGGTGAGCATATTAGCTCATCCTTCAGCCGGCAGCTCAATGTCAACGCCAAACCTTTCGTGCCTAATGTCCACGCCGCAGAGTTTGTGCCGTCTTTCCTGCGGGGTATGGCCCAGCCATCGGCCCTCCTAGCCAGCACCGCCAGCCATGAGGAAACCGGCACTGGCGCGGGGCACCCTCAAGGTAAAAGGCTGGGACGGGGGGCACCTGTGGAACCTTGCAAAGAGGAACAGTTAGTGTTGTGCGAAGGTTCTCATTCAGCTGTTACCATGGAACTTTCAGAACCTATTGTAAAAAATGGGGAGATGGAAATTTCCCCAGAAGAACCAAGGGAGCACATTAAAGATGTAAGTGGAGCAGGGCCTGGGAGTGGTCCCTTCAGAGATGCAGGGCTCCCAGAAGGAAGTGGCCAGGATATTATGGAGGGCAAAGAGGAAATAAGAAAACCTTTATCTGCTGGTGAACCATCAGATGCGCCTAAAAAAGAACATGTAAATGTGATATTCATTGGGCATGTAGATGCTGGCAAGTCAACCATTGGAGGACAAATAATGTTTTTGACGGGAATGGTTGATAAAAGGACACTTGAAAAATACGAAAGAGAAGCTAAAGAAAAAAACAGAGAAACGTGGTATTTGTCCTGGGCCCTAGACACAAATCAAGAGGAACGGGACAAGGGTAAAACAGTAGAAGTGGGTCGTGCCTATTTTGAAACAGAAAAGAAACATTTCACAATTTTAGATGCCCCTGGCCACAAGAGTTTTGTCCCAAATATGATTGGTGGTGCTTCTCAAGCTGATTTGGCTGTTCTAGTAATCTCTGCCAGGAAAGGAGAGTTTGAAACTGGATTTGAAAAAGGTGGACAGACAAGAGAACACGCAATGTTGGCAAAAACAGCAGGGGTAAAACATTTAATAGTGCTTATTAATAAGATGGATGATCCCACGGTAAATTGGAGCAGTGAGAGATATGAAGAATGTAAAGAAAAACTGGCACCTTTTTTGAAAAAAGTTGGCTTTAGTCCCAAAAAAGACATTCACTTTATGCCTTGCTCAGGATTGACAGGAGCAAATCTTAAAGAGCAATCCGATCTCTGTCACTGGTACACTGGATTACCATTTATTCCATATTTGGACAATTTGCCAAACTTCAACAGATCAATCGATGGGCCAATTAGACTGCCTATTGTGGATAAGTACAAAGATATGGGCACTGTAGTCCTGGGAAAACTAGAATCAGGATCCATATTTAAAGGCCAACAGCTTGTCATGATGCCTAACAAGCACAATGTGGAAGTTCTTGGAATACTTTCTGATGATGCTGAAACTGATTCTGTAGTCCCTGGTGAAAACCTCAAAATCAGACTGAAGGGAATCGAAGAAGAAGAGATTCTCCCAGGATTCATACTTTGTGACCCTTATAATCTTTGCCATTCTGGACGCACATTTGATGTTCAGATAGTGATTATCGAGCACAAATCTATTATCTGCCCAGGTTATAATGCGGTGCTGCATATTCATACTTGTATAGAAGAAGTTGAGATAACAGCCTTAATCTCCTTGGTCGACAAAAAATCAGGAGAAAAAAGTAAGACACGGCCCCGCTTTGTGAAGCAAGATCAAGTGTGCATTGCCCGTTTAAGAACAGCAGGAACTATCTGTCTTGAGACATTTAAAGATTTTCCTCAGATGGGTCGTTTTACCTTAAGAGATGAGGGCAAGACCATTGCAATTGGAAAAGTTCTGAAACTGGTTCCAGAAAAGGAATAAGCAATTTTCTTGATACTACACAATACTGTGATAATTGACTGCACAAATTTAACATCTTCTTTTATTTACTGCCTACTCACAGACTTTCCCCCATATTTTGCAAAGATAAATTTCAGAGCAAAGACCCATGTTTCCTCAACTTCTCATGTTAGGATCTCAGTTATGACACTGTTGAATTTACCCCAAATTTTCCTTCTCCTACTTTAATTGGCTTTCTTGAACAGAATCAATAATAACGTTGTAAGTGATGTGGATGTAATTGCCAATAACAATGAAAAATTAATATGCTCACTTTTTCATTTTTCCTTAGAATACTTAGACAACCTTGTTCTACATAGGTCAATCAGAGTGTGTCAGTGTGTGTGTATGCACATGTTAAAAATATGGCTAACACGTTAATAAAATATTCTGTTGGAAGTTCTTCAATATTTGAAACATTTTTTAATTTTTAAATTTTTATTTGTAATATAATTGCCTCTTTTACTTTCTCAAGAAATTGAATACATTTTATTACTTAGACTACATAAAGCTGTCCTTCATCCAGTGTTTTAATTGAGGCATTTACAAACAATGCATAAGTTAGTATTAAAGGATGTTTTTTAATTTGGAAAAACCATTTTAGCACTCTTACCAATGAACTTTGTCTTCTGTAACCTAGTCCAGTCAATTCAAGAGCTATTCTGCTTCTCCACTTGTGATATGAAAAAGATAGACGTGGCCTATCTTACCTATATTCCATTAGATAACAGGCTGTTAACCATGGCCCAATTGAAAATATACTTGGGAATTCAGACCATTGACAAGACTTAACTGTACTCCATTATCTTAGCATACCCCATGGTACGGTTCAACATGAAACTTGGGATATAAGCCATAACACAACAATGGGCATGGCTAATGCTAGCAAAAGGGCTGTAGACAATTTAATGAAAAGTAAGGTTTAGTGAGGTTTCTGAGCTAAGAAATGAGGTCATTCCACCCTAGAAACTTTAAATATTGAAGTTGATAGGAAAGGTGGAAGTTCACTTTTGTAATCAGACCACAACACATTCTTGATGTCAGCGGTACTGGAAATGTGCCTGAACTATTTGATGAGAAAATACTAATTGTTTCTGGAGTGGTTGCTTTTATTGCCAGGAAGCAATTTTCGAGTGTAAACAACTATCAATAGCTGCAAGAACTTTCTGTCATGGTAAGTGGAGAGTAGCCCAGTGTTAAATACCTACCCAATGGTGGACAGAGTCAATGTCTCTTAGGCACAACAATATACCTGGAGTAAGACATTTGCTTCGTTGAAAAACATTCACAGGGTGCTTGAAGAGTTGAGGTGACTGCTTCCCTGACATCCTGGACTATGCTCAAGCAAAGATAGTAACTCCTTTTTTTTGGTCCCGTTGTTTATGTACCTATTTACCTCCAGGATGTCAAGTCTGTCAGAGATACCCTTGGAAAATAAGAATTAGAGTTTAATCTTTATCATAAAGTACCTTTGCTTGGCTCTAAATGCTGAACTTTGTACACAATAAAGACCCAATTAAGCAAGTGTTCAAAGTTTTTCCCTGGCTGTAGTAACTTGAAATGATTTTAACTTTTCATACAGGATCGATTTCTTTTGTAATTTACCAATATAATTGTTATCATTCTCCAATGGTAGCTCAAACCACAAACCAGGATGGAACACTTTGTCTCCATCTAATTTGAGTAACCATCAGAAATTTGACTTCTACGTATCTTTCTCATTAACTAGTTATGTAAAAATGTATTTGTAAGTCAGCTGATAAACTGTTCAGACTCTGAGAATCATACCTCAGTCATAAAATTTCTAACAAATCCCCTTATTTTCTACTCAGATTAATATTAGCAATCCGAGTTAAAGCTCACATACAGATAATTTGTCAGCCCGCTGATGAAGACAATGCTCTCTGACAACTTAACTGCTTCAAAAGCCGGAGAGTATTAAGACCTGCCCCTAGTTTTAGCATACAGAGATCATGTCACATCACACTGCATCTGTCCATATTTGGGGCACTGAGGAAAGGGTTTACTTGATTCTTTTAACAGTCAACGTACATAAATGGAATGCACACTGACAAATTCACAGAAAAAGGATCCATTCTCACATAGCAAATACCCCCCCAAACCCCTAGGTGGCTTCTGCAGATTAGGCTGATTGCCCTTGATTTAAAATTTCATGTTTGCTCTCCATGCTGTATTTCTCCTTGCACTTTGTTTTAATTGATGCTCCCATGGCATAGATTGTTTAGTTTTCTAAACTACCTTAGTTTCTTTTGTCAAATTGGTAGAGTATAAATGAATATGTGGATTAAAATATATTGATAAATTTTGAAATATCAAAAATCTAAGAGGTGCTAATGACAGGATGCCCCACCCAATCCCATTCAGATTCTTCATTACACACTCAACTCAAAAGAACTTTTTTTTAATCTGAAAGGAGAGATGAGATAAAAGAATACACTATAGAGCAGTGGTTCTCAACCTTCCTACTGCCTCGACCCTTTAATACAGTTCCTCATGTTGTATTGACCCTCTAACCACAAAATTATTTTAGTTGCTACTGTGTTTCCCCGAAAGTAAGAAATCCCCTTAAAATAAGACTTACTTACAGTTTTGCCTCTCGCTGAAATATAAGGCACCCCCCTCAAAATAAGACCTCCCAGAAAATAAGGCCCCCTGAAGCTACTGTAACTCTGGACTCTGGACCATAGCGGCGGGTGCTGCTGCGCAGCTCACTGTTGGCCGCAGCGCAGCCGGAGCAGACAGGAAGTGTGAGGTCTCTTTTAGTAAAACAATAAACAATAAATATGTACCATATTCTTCATAGAAAAATAAGATAATCCCTGAAAATAAGACCTAGCACATCTTTGGGAGCAAAAATTAATATAAGACACTGACTTATTTTCGGGAAAACAAGGTACTTCATAACTGTAATTTTGCTACTGTTATGAATGGGGAGACCCCTGTGAAAGGGTCATTTGACCTCCAAAATGGTCCTACCCACAGGTTGAGAACTGCTGCTATGGAGTGTATCTGAGGGTGCCCTAACCTTGGAAATTGGAGATCCATGACAAAGGCAGGCTGCTGTACTCAGGTCATGTAATCTTCTAATAGGGTCTCCGAAACAATAAGGTAGTGTGCCTGCCTAGTACTGGTGAACCATATATAAAACCAAGAGAGGAGGCCTCACCTTAGCTGGTGTCAGTTTCTCATGATTGTGGAGAGAGAGAGATCAATCAGTTCCTGTCATGTAACATTGTTCTATGGTTATTCCAAATCAACACACACTCCTATATGAGTGATTAGTGAACCTTGCTGAAAATTCAAGTCAGGAGTTGGGGAAGCCACTTATCTGTCACAGAGAAAGCAATTACACTTTTGTTGATTGGTAAGCCAGGTGGGGCAAAATGCCGTTGGGAAAAAAAGCTACCATTACTTATATAGATCCCAAAGAGAGAATATACTCAATATCATGTTGTTAATTGGTCACTTTTGACGTAGTTTCTATCCAGGCCTTGGTAACTCAAAGAGCATGTTATAGACAACTGGGACTCTAAAGTCTGTCCTTTTGAGGTGCTTCACATCCTGCATAAGCCACAATAAAAGGATCAATTTGGAAACCCCATTAATTGAACTGTACATTAACTTACACTCACATGTAACAGACTCAAGGAACTGAAATACTTCCTTGACCTTAGGCTGAAATGCCCTACTATGAGAAGAAACATATAATTGCTAAGCAAAAGTTATAGAATTGGTGGTCCTTGGACATCGGTAGGAAGCTCTTGCTTTAAGGGGGCCCAATAAATGATGGCCCAGGACTATTTTCATGCTCTCTTTGCTTTTTTATGACATGTTAATCTAGCAGGAATGGTTCTGCCTTTGTAAATGAGGATTTTTTTGCAATTTTTGCCCAATCTCCAGTCTTCATTGTTTGTGCAAATAATGTCCAGTCATTTAACATTTTAATCTGTACAAATCAACACTTCATGTATTTTGGTCTAAAAAGCTGTCCTTACATGTTGTGCTACTAACTACAAGGCCAGCAACTTGAAACCACCAGCCACTCCACAAAAGAAAGATGGGGCTCTCTAGTCCATCAAAACTTACAGTCTCAGAAACCCACGGGGTCTCCAGGAGTCAGAATCTACTCCAGTTAGTGAGGGGTTTTTGTTTCTTTGTTTATACATGTGTAATTTCCTTTTCTCAACACTCTTTCTTTAAATTCTATACTATTGTTTTAAATTAATGATACTATCAATAGAATTACCTTATACCCCAGGAGGATGATTAATAATGTTTTTAAATAAATGATAAAGTGAACCAAGAACAAACCATGTATATATATATATATATATATATATATATATATATATATATGAATAGATTTTAAGTTCACAATTAATTGTAGCCCTGATATGAGAAGAATTCATTCTTATGTCATGTTCTTATGTCATGGCCCTGATTGATATTCACCCTCATGAAGAGATCACTGATGATGATTTTGAGATAGCTGCTATCTCAAAATGTGACTTCTTAATCACATGGTGCCAGGCTATCAGAAAGAATGGCATCGGGGGTTGTAACACCTTGACTTAAAACAAGCAACCAACTGAGTGAGGTGCCATCTTAGTCCACACAGAAGAAACATATCAGCATGTGTGAACCAAGGATTGTAAATAATAAAATCCAAATCCAAAAAAAGAGAATAGTATTGTGTTAGGCCAGGTTGACTAGAGAAATAAATCCAGTGAAAGTCATATGTGTGTAAGAAAGAGTTTTTTGTTTTTAAAAAAATCATTTTATTGGAGGTTCATGCAACTCTTATCACAATCCACACATACATCCATTGTGTCAAGCACATTTGTACATTTGTTGCCATCATCATTCTCAAAACATTTGCTTTCTACTTGAGCCCTTAATAT